ATCCCTCGTGCCGGTATTGGGGACGGCCGCTGCACGGTTAGGTGTGAGGGGGTCCCATCAGCCCTGACGTGGCGGTGTGCGTCGTGACGCGTCGGGCTGCTGGCACTCGGCCAAAGACAGCGTTGGCATTGGTCCCGCCTCTGTGGGTTTTGTCTGACGGGGCTTAACCAGGTCTGTAAGGCTGCTGGCCAAGACCCTGTACGTAAAGAGTTATGAACCTGAAAATGTAAGTAGCAGGCGGTCACTTGGGTTTACGGGACAAGTTTCTGACAGTTTTAAAAGGATGATGCTTCACTAAAAAATCAGAATGCCTTCGTCCCTTCTGCCACGCTGGTTACAATTGAGAAGCCCTCTCCAGGCTGTGTGCCAGGCGTGATGCAAGCTTCCACCCATGACTGCACAACTGCAGCTGATGCCTTCCTTGGCCCTGGCCATGCCCCCTGCCTAGGGTTAGTAAATGTCAGTGTATCAACTGGGCTTTAGCGTAGGCTTGGAAATACAAGCTCACGGTCATTAAGCTGTTGATGTACAGATCCATACAACTGGAAGGATCCTTGGAGGAGCAGAGCATTGACTGAAACCACTTAAGGATGACTTGAAGGTTCTCTTGGGGTAACTGGCAGGAAATGGGCATATGAACAAGTTCCAAAAGCTTGTCATTAATAAACTCCCTGTAGTTAGGTATTTCTTGTCTCTTGAGACTGCCAACCTGGCAACCAAGGCCTACTGTAAAGTGTGAGGCGCTTACAGATACCACTGAGGAGCTGAACATGCCAAGAGCCCAGCCGCTTGCAGGATCAGACCTTGGAGGTGAGTAGGAAAGCTCTAGTGTTGTGTGCTTATCTTTGAATAAAGTAAGCCCTATGCTTCAGCTTTCCTATGGATTTCAGGTAGATTTTCAGGTTACGTGGTAAGTGTCTCTGGCCACGCCGCAGGTTAGCTGTTCAAGAGCTGGCAGTCAGCTGATAGCTTTTCTAGCCAGCCTTTGACCCATGGCTGTGCTCCCTGCTAACCCCGAGTGGCTTCACTCCCTTGCTTCAAGGTGGAAAATCACCGGGCAGAGCACAAAGGCAGGAGCTGACTTCTGTTAATTGCTCTGTGGTAATACCACGCTGGCTTAAAAAAGTAAGCTCAGTACTTTGGATACTAAACTACAATATTAAATTCACTTCCCTCTGTTCTTGTTTTTTGAAGCTTTGTTAATCTTTAGACAAAAGCTGTAAGAAATGGGATGTGTCACAAGCACAGAAAGGGTATTACACTGGTACTTAGAAGAAGGGCCAAAGACCAAGCTCTTGACCCAAGAAAGTACCTAGTGTGTTTGTTCCCTCTTCCCTGCAGTGCCTGCTGCAGTTGCCAGCATGCCGTAACATAGGGTTTCTTGCTTCCAGAACTGGAGCTAACCACGCTGTTTCTGTGTGAAACATCATCCAGCTTCTTGTTGTAAATAGTTAATAAATTAAATTGGTTTTTTTGTGTTTCCCAAGTCGTGGCAGTTTCTTGCCCATGACCCTAAATGGTGAGTGAAACCCTCCCTGTCCCTGCCTCAGACCACCAGGTGTTTAACAAAGGACTCTCTGGTGGCATTTCTAAACCAGGACACCCTTCTCTACTGCTAGGGAAGGGTCCACAAATTGTCATAACAAGTAGGAGAGGAAACTGAGTGTATGGAGTCAGATGGGAAATTACACTGGAAAAATGCAAGAATGTGTTATGAGAATAACACACATAGTAATATATTACTTGTAAGAAAAAGAGATACTTGATTTCTAAAAGAATGTTTCAACTTGCAAAAACTCGAATAAGCTCACTCAAGGAGGAATATGCCTTGGCTTAAAAATACTCAAGAATGTTGCAGTTGAGTGATGAGAGAGAGGGCACAGAACACTGGCAAATACACCGGAGGGCATTTTATAATTGGGCAGTTCTGTTAGTGCGTGAGGACAAGACCCAAAGCTCACCATCTTGGTAGGCTTGTTTACCCTTACTATTTTCCTGAACCCTTCATGGGAGCATTTAAGTCCTATAACAGCACCAAAAGCTGCAAAGGAATTGGAATGAGGTAGGCATGACTTTTGAGGAACAAGAAGGCGGCAGTAAGTCAGTTCCCTCCTTCATAGTACGCCTCAGCCGAGGGCCCTTCAGATTGTCCAATGGCAAGCACATCAGCAGTCCTGTCACTGCCAACTTGGACAAAAGTCCAGTTGACATTTCTTCAGCACTGTTGTGTTTACTGCAGAATTGGGTATGTGTGCTAGTCTTGAAAAAGGGCTACCTACACTTTCTTCTCACTGATAGAAATTGTTAGCTAATGTTTAGGCCAGACTACTAAGAGGTTTGGATGTTGATCCAGCTCTCCACAGACCAAGACTTCTATCAGTAGTGCTCTCTCCCAGACTGCTCTTCATTTTGTCCCGGGACTGCCGTTTCTTATGGGCAGGTGGAAAAGGCAGACTTCAGCCCCTCATAAGATGGGAGCTGGATCAGATCCTGCCTGTCCGTTCTTCCTTCTCTGGCTCCAACTGACTACCTGTAGACTCTCCTTTAGCTGCCCCTTTCATGTCAAGAGTGGACAATAGCCCTTATACTAAGTGGAAATTGATTCTCTGTATTGGTTTCATTTGCAGGATTTTAAACTCGAGTTTGGCCATCATCAAGGCAGGACAAGTTCTGTCTGGCATGGAGGTACTGCTACCATTGTTCAGAGCCCTGGAGACGAAGTATGGGGAATAGTATGGAAAATGAACGCTAGCAGTTTAAGTACACTGGATAAGTAGGTGACTTAACTTTTGCTGCCTTCTACTACTTTAGAGAGCAATTGAAAAGTAGTAGTTAATTTTTGGTAAAGAGCTGTGTGGAAGCTCTGGTGTTGGAATCAAGAAGGTGCTTTGGATTTGAATATGTGAATTTCACTTTGCAGTACATGTATTCTAACACATTTGTGATTAAAATGGCTTTGTTTTCAAGCTAAATCTACTTCAGGTTATTTTAATAAGCTGTGGACCTTGATTTGGAGCTGATACATTGGTCAGGCTCTTTTTTTTTTTTTTTTTACCCCTGTCCTCACAATGTCCTGTCCCTTAAATAACTCTAAACTATTTGTCCTGTGGCACTTTTCCTTTGGGACTAACATGGATTTCTGTCTCTATACATCTGTAGACTCCAATTGTAGTGGAAAAGGAAGGGGTGAGGACAAGACTGCAGAAGATAAGGAGATCTTTAACACAGACAAGGGGACCTTCTGAGGAGGTTATTTTGCATGCATTCTCTTCTAAGGATTCAAACTTCTGTGAACTTGAGGTAGATCCAAGCAGGGAGCTGCGGTGGTATTGGTTTTCCCTTTGAATGGGAGAGGCTGCCCGCACCATTACAATTCATGGTGGAGAATGTTCTGCCTGTGCCTGATATTTAAGAAAAGTTTAAGGCAGCCTGAGCAAGTCATTCTGAGGCTGAAGTCTGGGGGACCACCTGGGTAAACAAATCAAGGAGTAGCATAACTTCTTGCAGGGTTGAAAACAAGACTTGGAACTTAATCTCCAAAACTTTGGCTGGTGACATGCTTATTGCAGCTTTTGGGATGCACCTGCACAGCATAGTGCTTCTGGTACCCAAGGATCATTTTTTCAGAGCAGTTCACACTGTCAATCAATTCCAGTAGAAATTTGGGCTAGTTAGGCTAAGGAAGCAGGGCATATTAAACTGATTGAAAGCATTATGTTAGTACAGTTCTGCCTATGGTACTGTTCCAATTTTGGGTATGGCTGCACTGTGCTGTGTAGACATGGCCGTATAACTTTGGCCATGAAACTTGGAAATTCTAGATTGCTTTTCATTTTCATTTCGGTGAACCTGAAAAAAACAGAAACACTTGCCTAAGTTCTGTTAGCGCATCATGGGAACGAGCACTCTCAGCAGTCTCATAGCTTGGTTGGGAGTGTTAGTCTCAAGCAGGAGGGCATCTATTTGGTATGCTTCTGGCTGGGGAGAGCGTGACATGTCCCTGCTTCACGATCTCCTGAGTTCCCCTTCTGTTGCTTACACTAGCACTTACCTCCTGGCCCCCTTTCTGCTGACTTTTACTGAACTCTCCTGATTTTCCTAAAGCATAAACTTCACAAGTGTAAAGATCCTGTCTGATAGAATCTGCTTTGATAGTAGCACTGTGTTGCCCCCCCATGGGGATGGTATTTTGTATTTTGACTTCTAGAAGCACTGTTTACATACTGCAAAATTCCAGATCTCTAGCACACTCTCACGCACCTATGTGACTTATTTTGCAGTCTGTTGGCCTTGAATCTGCAGTTAGCTTCCAGTCTCTGCTTGGACTTAACCTAGTTACTCGCATAACATGTACGTTAAATAACTTGAAATGGTAGTAAGTCTTTGAAAGAAAGATAAGTTGTCAAAATGATATTTTGATGAGCAGCACTAAAACCCATGTGATCACTCACAGATAAAGCACATCTAAAGTTAATTGTGCTATAAGGTCTGTCTTGTATTGCTTAAGCTTCTTGTTTACTTCTTACTATTTCCTCAGACTTTTATTGGTGGCTAAATGCTAATGGTTAAAGACAACAAGTAGCCTTGGTTTTGAGTTTGGTTTGGTTTTTCTAAGACAGCATGATTTTACTAATAAAAAAATAACAAAATAGGTTTTGCCCTGATCTAGGTCATTGTTGCTGTATACATCTTGCACAAATTAAAAGATGACTTAAGATTATTCGTTGGAATGTGCATCGCAAGAGTTGTGCGAGTTTCCCCTTATGCAAATGTAACACAATGGGCAAGATAAAACTTTGCAATTGTTTCATTATCTGAGTGGAAGGTAATGAAGAATAATTAATTCTGATAATCTTGGTTGTGTTTCTCTTGAAGATTACCAGACTTGGACAATAATTAATTCACAAGGAGTGATTTGATAAGTTCAATTTCTCTCTAACTTTGCAAGTTAACCACTAGTCATCTTTCTTACAGATCTGAAATGATAAAAGTGAATGCTGCTGATTCTTTAGAAACTTATTTTTGCATATGAAACAAGTTTGCACTCATCTTTCTTACAGATCTGAAATGATAAAAATGAATGCTGCTGCTTCTTTAGAAACTTATTTTTGTATATGAAACAAGTTTGCACAAAAAGCACTGAAATATGTTTTTCTTTGTTAACAGCACAGACCAGTGTCCTGCCTTGAATTCTGTTATAAGAAATGCATGTGTTTAATTGCACAGTTTGTTTGAAAGTTGCATCAGTTATTTGGCATGAAAGGAATATATGTCCTTTACAGGCAAGAGGGAGTTGAAGGTGGCATTTATGTCCCAGTAGAAGTTAATGTCCGCACTCAAGCAGGAGATGTACTGACCTGTCGAAGCTACCAGATGAAGGACTATGTCTGTGGTCCCCCTTCTCCTCAGTATAAAAAGGTAGGTGTTGCATTACTGTAATTTTAGAGAGAATGAGCAGAAATATATAAAGCAGTACTTCTGTCCTATCTAACAAGTACTTTATTTACAGTGGATGGAAGGCATGAGTAACTCTAATGTAAAGGTATAACTTAATCCTTGTGCAATGTAATAGTGTAATGGTGCTTGCAGAAGATTGCTAGCTCTTAAAGGCCTACTAAATCAGTTTTATTTTTTGGCTTCTTTATGCCTTACATGAAGCCTCTGTTTAACTTGTGAATTAGTTACGACTGACACAGATTTCTGAAGGATGTTGTTTACATATGTGCAGCAATTCTCTGAAAAATTAATGTACTCCACTAAAAGGACAGAAGGAACCTTCTGTAAGGAGAATACAGCACCTGGCTTGTAGTTTCGAGAACATGGATTACCCCTATTATCTGATAAAGTATTTTGCTATCATTTAATACTGGAGTCCACTTGCCTCCTTTTACCAGATGCATCATCAGTGTATCACAGGACTTTCAGCACGATTGCAGAGCACTGCAGGGTTCCCACTTGATGGCTGGTGAGGCAGAAGTGCTTCAACACTGTTCGGCAGCACACTGACTCTATAGAGACACGTGATCCAGTCACGCAGCAGGCCTGACCTACTTAGATTGTGAGATCTGATGTGGGCCTAGCCTCGGGTGGCATGACTGCGTGTCTGGAATTGTGCAGCTATTAGCAATTGCAGGTAGACCTCACTGTAACATGTTGACCTTTTCTACAGAAAGCAAAGAAACGGGGCTTGAGCTTGTTAAATCCCAAGTGTGCCACCTTCTTTTAAATGAGGAACTGCTATGCATCAGCTTCCAGGAGTATACCTAAGGTCAGCTGCTGCAGGACTTCTGAAGAGAAAGCTTGCTTAGAAAGCAGGCTCTACTGCTTCACAAACCTCCCTCCCAACCCGCTTCCTGTCAAAACAGATCTTTAGGGCTTTTCAGGGAGTTAATATGTAGTCTGCTGCTGTGTGTCAGCTCTCACTAGTATGCCTTGAGAACAGACCTCCAATATTGGCAACTTTATCTAGCTAAACATTCCCTCTTTCTGCTGTCAGGGTCAGTTGTTAGTTCTCTTCTTCCCCTTACCCCCAGCTTTTATTTGTTTATGGTAACCAGGCAGGAAAGCAAGAATTTTAGTACAGGTGATTGCATCAGCACACAGTGATCTACACCCATCTACTGTTGTGTACTTTTTGTGGCAAAGCTCATCCTTTCTAGACACCTTATTCTTGAATTTCCTGTCTGTTGAATACATGAAAGAACGTTTACAATAGTGCCAGCTTTTAAAATCTGCATATTTATCTGTTCATTTCTATATGGGAACTGGCTGGTGTCTCTTTCAAGCCTTGGCTCCTACAGCATCCTGTTTTCCTCTCACTAGCACTTCTTTTCTCGTGCACCAATACCTAAGTTTATTTTGTCTGTAGAAGGAAAGTTGCAGTAACAAACTCTAAGGAATCTGCTTTTTCACTAAGCTAAGTATCTCTTTCTCCTTTAACCTGTCTAGGTTCTCACTGTAGTGCTTTGGATTTGAACAGCTTAGTTTTAAAATAAGTTCAATAATATATGCTGCTTCTCACTCAGATGTGATACTAACACTGGCTAAAGGCAGTTTCTTCCTCACTGGAAGAAAGAATGGAATTACTGAATAACAGCGTAATTGTATGGTCTTGTGAACGTTAGTAACATTTCAGAATCTTAGGGGTATGCCTTGGTAGTTACAAGCTTTTTCAGAGTAATTTTGTTGACACGGGTAAGGTCTTCAGTGGTCTTCCAGAAGCCTTAGACTATCTTCAGGTACAAATGGCATTACTTTGGATTAATTGTCTTGTTACCTTAAGTGGTTCTTCCCATACAAGTAAATGTTGAGGGGTCTGTCCTTCCTAACACTATTCTTGAAGAATTTTTTTTTTCGCCCCCTTTTTTGATTATAGGTTATCTGCATGGGTGCAAAACAGAACGGCTTGCCAACTGACTATCAGAAGAAATTAGAAGCTATTGAAACTAATAACTATGCAGGGCCAGTGCCAATCATGGAAGAGATTGAAGCTGCTATTAAAGCAAAGAAAATAAATTCTGCATAGAATACCTCTGCGCTTGCTTGGCCTTTCACCTTGATTTAGATACCTTTCATCACTGTGCTGATCAGCAGTTTATTTATCAAGAAAGGATGAGTCTGCTGTGCATCTACAGTAAGCCATTAGACATAATTTGCAGTCTGAAGACACACTGACATTGGTAACTTCTTTGCTTTTTATGTATAGCTTATGTACATGCTGAAGGTTTTGCAGATTTAGATATTATCTTTCTGTAATTGTCATGCAGTGCTGCACACAAATTTGTGCTTCGTGTCCTGTTTACTGACCTTTTTAAACAAAAAAGGCCATCTTGATGAGTATTGGCATCTGTTGCCTTCTGAGAAATAAGGCCCTTTGTTCTTAAATGTTGTATACACAATTATCAAGAATTTCAAAGATTTGTTAGATGCAAAGTAGACTCAAAATTCTAAACCAAGACCTCTGCTGCTTCTCTTAATGGTTTAAAGCCCAACCTACCTGAAGCTGTGGAGTTCCTGTTTCTATTTAGATAGTTAACAAAGAAAGAAAAGTGCTTTGTTGGGTTTTTTTTAACCATCTCCATGTTTTTGTTAGTCCAAAAGGCAACCAGACCTGAAGACAACATTCATCAAAGGATCTCATTCAAAGCATAATGGCCTTCTCCTTTCCATGTCTAGTCTGAACTGGTTAGGTATAACCAAGCTATTTTAGTTAGATAATTCCAAGGTTTTTTAAATTACCTTTTTGACTGGCTTGTTGCTTATCTAGGCCTTGGTCTCATGTCCAGTGAAGTCAGGAAGTCTCCTGTCAGTTGTAGCGCATCTGTTTCATGGTTTTGTTTGTCTGTTAAATCCCAGATGAACAGACTTGGCCTCTTCCCCCCCCCCAGCTCTGACAATATCCCAAAAATTCGAAGTTTTGTAGGGTTTAGCATACTTATCTTCATGGTACTTGGCAACCCCTATAGTTAGTCTGTGGGAGACAAGGAAAAAATTGACTACCTGGAAGATGTCAAACAACTGAACTTTGGCTTATCTTCTGTACAGTGTTTTGGTTTTTTTTCCTCGTGATGTACAGAGGGGTGTAAGATATAATCAGTATCAGTGCGTGACTGTTTAGATACACAAATGACAACGTAACAGACTTACCATGGGTTCTCCATGTAAAATTTTTCTGTAAACTCTTGCCAGGGATGTATAGGTGCTGTCCTGATGTCATATGCCCGCTTCCAGAGTTGGGCACAGTGTCGGCAGTAAAACACAGTACTTTCTGTATCAGCACTGTCTAGTCTGAACCTGAGAAAATAAAATTCCAGTTACCAAACCTCTCCTGTCTGTTCAATGCATGGTCCAAGAATATCAATGTTGCTCATGTACATGGAAATGTAACTGAAACTTCCATTGTTGGTTATTGGCATCTTTTAATGGATGTAATTTCAGTAGGGAGGGCAAAACTATGCATGAACACGCTCCTCGACATCACCACCCCTTCTTTTGCTTTACCCGTACCATTCTCCTTGGGGCTTCTGAACCTTTGAATGGGTATTTTCCTCTTGCAAGAGGAAAATAGAAAATAATATCCTGAGAGCCTCCCTGGGCGCACTGACAGAAGGTACGCCATTCCTCCTGCTGAGGAAAGTGATGGGAGCTCTTGAGGGACCCCCGGCACCTCTCTTGGGGCAGGAGGCCCTCCTCCATACCGGTGTGGGGTGGGGAAGGTGGTGTTGGTGAAGGAGAACAGGCCTTCGGCCATACCTGCGTGGGGAGCAGCCTTCTCCCGCAGG